TAGAGTACTTTTAATACATACAGAGATTTAGGTACTCTAAAGCAGCATATCACCTGAATGTGTGCTGAACTTCAAGGACCTAAGTAATTGAACTGGTTTCATGAAAACAACCAGTGTGTCAAAAAAAAAAAAAAAAAAAGCTCGGTATTCTGAACATCTAGACTATGTGGAGACCAATTTTTCTAAAGCAAAGAGGATCTAGAGGACTGTAAAGGGCTATTAAGGCAACTTAGTTAACTTGATTTAAAAGCATCCTCTGCCATCATGTACAGAGGACTACAATGTCAGTCATTGAGGATCTAGGCAGATAATATGCATAAAAGTTTTCAGGTCATATTCTATATTACTACAGTAAGAATACAGGTTATTTGTCAAGCAGTTATTTACCCCTTGTATTCCCCCTGCATCACCTTTCTGTTCACAACACCATGCTTTGTGTACCTGGCCCTCACATTCTTGTGGTTTCATAAAGTGGGTACTTTGACCTTTGAAGAGCTCAGTTTGTTTTCTTTTCTTTGTTTGTTTTGTTTGATTATATTTTTTTGCCTGAAAGCTTAAATGAACTGATTGTAGTATAGACAAGATCATTATTAATAAAAATGGTACCTTATTCGTGCTTTGAATCATATTTAGCCCTAAACCTATGTAAGCAAAAGAAAAGCAGAGGAACATCTATACACAACAACTATTGAACTGTTTTTAAAAGGCTTCGTTCATGCTGTTCAATGTGTCCTGCTTCACCAGACTGAGGAGGAACATAGAGACATCCTGACCTACCATGCGTGCTCAGGTGCGGTATCTGTGACTGATGGCAGCCTCGCATTGGAGAGGAGCTGGGGAGCATCTCCCCGCAGGCAGGCAGGGAGGCTTCGGCTTCTTCAGCTTTCCCTCCTGCTCCAGCAGTCCCTTAGCGACCACCAGTCTGACGGCATACTTTTCAGCAGAGACGGCTTTCATGCTTCCAAGCCCACAGAAGCTGTTACCATGCTCTACCACTACAGAAATTCAAACACTGCACTGATGCCCATTGCTGCTCAAGGTTGCGGTCCGTGTATTTCACCCTGTTCTTCTTTTTTGCTCTTGTAGGTCTTAGGTATTATCTTGACATTATGGACAGTACCTCTGCTTTTCCTCCATATGTTTAGTTTCTCTGTTGGACTAAAAATATGTATCTCTATATATACACATACTGTGAGTTTTACTTGATTAATTTTTTTTTTTTTTTTTTTTACAAAGACACTTCTAAACAAATCTTTACTAATATCTGGATTTTGCCTAAACCAAGTATTGGAGAATAAGGCATACAATGAGATCCACCTGTTCTCATTCTGAATCGAGACATTTTCTGCATGAACTAATTTAATCAGAGAAGTTAATCTTTGGACTGCAAGATGTGACAACCAGAGAGGCTAATAAAGAATCTTGAAAGCAGAAGGATGCTGCTTTAGCTTGGCTGGGAGGTCCAGCACATGATTCAGTTATAATAGGAATTAAAAACCATGCTTTCCAATAAGTCAGACAGTTTTGGGTATCCGTGGTATTAACAGGAATCGAAATGTTGCAGAAACCACTTCCCTTTATAAGCAATTAACTCAAAGTGCAGAAAATAGAAGATATTATAATGAAATAGATAATATGGTAACAGGCAGAAGTGTGTAATTGCCGATTCTTTTCTCTGCTTCTGAGTTACATTTCCTGTCCTGCTGTGGCTGTGCAGTGACAGATGCTTTTCTAGGTCAGTGATGAATGCGAGCTGAAGTCAAACACACCCGGCCCCAGTGCTCACCCACACAGCACTAATGCAGAGCACTCACCGGCAAGCGCGCGCGTGGGGAGGCCGTGGGAAGCACACGCAGAGAAGGGCCCTCTCAGCTGAGCACGTAAAGAGAGATCGAGAAAGCCTCAGCACCGCAGCCGTAACTTAGTGGGATCACACAGACACCAGGAAGACTTTCTGCCCAAGCTGTTATTTTGCAGATGCCATCATCTTTCCTGACTCCAAACGTACTACAAACCTGCAGTAAGCACAACAACTTTCAGCAGGAAAAATAAAATATTAATGCAATGCTTGTCCCTTTTCCTTTGTTTAAGCCTCTCTCTGCCATCCCATCAGCTCAAGCACCTCAGCCAGATCCTTTCCCCTCTGCAGATAGAAGCTCAATGGTCACTTACACTTTGCTCCACATTGTATTTATCACCAGTTCCAGGAAGCTCCCACCTCCTCATTTCCAGCTGCTGGAAAGGCAATTAGCCTCACTGAGCTCAGCCCAGAGAGCTGATAATCTACATGATTTTCAGACTCATTGCTCAGAGTTCCCATTGACTTTTTGGAACGTTTTGAACAGAAAGGATAGGTCAAGAGAAACATTTCTTTAGAGAAATAGAGCTAATACATTAAGGTAAACCTAATGAATTTATTTTTTTTAAAAACATTGCAACTTTTAAGTTCAAAATCAACATTTTAAGTGAGCCAGCCTTTACCTTAGCTCATGCAGGTTATACAAAAGCAACAGCCTGGGCAAATCCTCGATATGATGAGCAAAGTAAGCATTAACAAGAACAGGAGAGTCCTTTAGGCAAGAAAAGAGGCTAATGAGCAGAGACAGCGCACATACCATGCTCACTTCTGCTCTCACACCAGAGTCGCTAAATTAGCTTCGGTAAACTTGTTCCTAATTTACATCAGTATAGGGAAGAAGAGAATCAGCTGTCTTTTTTAATTGTTAAGATGCAACATTACTGTAAACTGGACACACTTGCCAGTGCAGTAAGTTCCACTACAGTGAGTCTGAGGTGTTGGTTCAGCCCTTGTACATCAGAGAGCAGCTAATTCCCAGTCCCGCTTGCTTTGTTCAGAAATACAGCCTCTTCACCAGCTACCTCCAGCAGAAATATCCCTATGGCACAGCCTGCTTTCTGCTGTGGCCACAGCGGTCAGATAGGTCCTACCTGTTCTTCAAGTTTTGCGAGATCTACGACTGGCCCACAGCAGCCTAGCTAGGGATCCTGCTGCGCTTCAGCCTGGAGCTGCCTTGTCACTGAGCTGTGAGATGCAGCTTTGGGTACAGCGAGGGCTTGACACTGTGGCCAGCAGAGTAAAGCCTTGCAGTAACTCTGTGCCAAGTCATATCTCATTTTCACTGCTGCCCACCCCGCCAAGGCAGACCCTAGCTGCATCCACCTGATTCCCCTGAGCAACGCTATGCTGCAGGGTATCGTACTGCTATTTGCCAAAACCTTCTGTTGTCCTGGTTTCCCAGGAGTTTCCTGACATTATCTCTAGACCAGAGCTCGTGCTTTAGTAAACTCCTCCTCCCACCTCATCTCCCCTTAACTCCAATCTGTTGACCAATACAGTTAAAGAAGGCAGAGTTCTAAATACATAGTTACATTCTCACAGACAGTCATGAAAAGGCAGTCAGAGCGCAGGAGCCAGCACCCTTGGAGGTAAAGCTGTGAGCTCAGCCCTCATTAGGACAGGCACAGCAGAGTCCACATTTAAGAGAAAAAGAGACTGCAAACCTCATGAGCTGTTTGGATGAGGAGACATCACATCAACAGATACTACCAAGGTGCAAAGCCCCAGGACAGCAGGTTTTGTTGGCTTCCTGCTAACAAAATTTGCTCCTGCTGCTGACATTCTCATAGCATCATGCCACTGGGTATCAAGCAGGTGGACAGCAGGCTTTTTGTCACAGGTCCTTTTGAAGTCAGGCCACTCATTCAAAATATCCATGGTTGGCCCATGCTGGAGAGCCGTTTGCCAGGTAAGGCAGGTGTCTTTACAGATATGATCCACCTCTCCCATAAACCCAACACCCTCGTCTTTGACACCACATTGCTCCTAGTGCTGCTGCAGTTAGTCCTGCACAGGCAGTACGTCCTGCATGGGGTGCCCAGCGTTACCTGTTGAAGTCACCAGCTAGAAAACCAGCCCAAAGTTTGAAGGGACAGAGCAGCAGCTCCAGCAGCAAGCCCATCCAGGCACCCAGAGCAACACTGCTCTGAAGGCAGGTAATAAGCTTAATGGTTGAGAATAGCATCCACACTAGTGTAAGTATATAGTTTATTTTTACTTATCACCACTGAGAGACCTCTTGCTATTATACTCATCAGTTGTGGTTCAGCCAATAATCCCTCGGTTTCCCCAAGCAGAGAAGGGTCATATCTTCTTTTGCACCAAATATTTTGCCTCCTGAAACTATAGTGCTGCTTTTAAACAGCTGTATGCTCAGTGTAAAGCATTATATGCTTTCTACCTTACCACCTACCTACCACATGTTGTTACCTTTCATTCTGTTCCTATGTTTACTTTACTCACCTTCCTAGACCACTTCACATCTGGTCCTTCCCTCCCCACCCTTCCCTTCTTATTTCATTCCTCCAAAGCTTATACCAGAACCTAGAGAGCAGTTCCTTTCTGCTTTTTTTTCCCCCACTCCCAAGCATAAGCCTTGTGCCAGGGGCACCATGATCAGGGAGAACTGATGCTGGAAGGGCGCAACTTAAGGGTACACTGGTTCTGCATCGTTTTCCTCCACTGCTACCTCCCAAGCACAAAATATTTCTGTTAAGTTTAGGTTGTTAAAATCTGATTCTCAACGCTTTTCCATTCTACCAGGGCTGTTTCCACAACTCTGTTTTCCTTTGCTCTATAGAGGAAGGGATTTATCGTTTTTCTACGCAGCCAGCATCCTCAGGCACTGGCAATTTGATAGCTTAATATTCTGTTCCCTTTCTAGAGTGATGATGGTACAGGAATTATTGCCATTCTGTTTTAGTGTGTGATTCAACATCCCTGTATCAAATCTCAGCTACTCCCAAGAAACTGATCCAGAGACTCCTCCACTGCTACCTAGTTTCTGCTGGTTTAAGTAATGAGCAGTAAAGCATAACCCTAGACTGTGCATTTAAATGGTCACTGGAGTGAGAGAGTGTGTTGCCTACTGAACTCCCTTTTCAGGAGACAAACGCTTTGCCAGAAAAATTTAAGCACAACGTGTGAAAAAGCCATCCCAAAATTTATTCTCAAAATGTCAACAGAAACGCAGCAGTAGATACTCAAAACTACAGAGTTCTTAAAAGTCATACATTCACAATGCAGAAACTTGACAATTGGGATGCCTTTTGCATGGTCTATGTAACAATATCCATTTTACAGTGTAAACAGGTACTGGTATGTTCTTACTTACAAGTCCAGCAGGAAAGGCACAACTCGGCATACAGAGATCATAAGCAAGAATCAGGTGCAACAACATTACACAAACTTTTGGTAATCTGCATTTTTGGGGCCTTCCACAATAAAGACTGGACTTGAAGATTTCCTGCAGTCAACAACTAGACTTCTTTCCGTCGTTCAGTCCTTCCATACCAAATGCTCACTTTCCAGTCTGGTTTAGATCCCATTACACACATTTAGTTCCAGCAAACGAGAGGAATAGTGAAAGGTCAGTCCAGTAAGTCTTCAGGTGCTTCCACTAATACATCAGGTTTTGGTTTCAGATAGTGCATGGAAGCATCTGTTCGAATCTCAGTTCATTACAGTGGTCATTAATAGAAAAATAGACACTACAACTACAAAAGGAAAAATGAGGTAGATAACTTAGAATCCAGATGACTATCCCAGCAACCTTCATACAATACACATGGATCATTAATTACCACTTTGGTAGAATGCAAATTCACAGACCACCAAGAAACTTAATGACCGGAGTAGGAATGCCATCCAAAAACCCACAAAACATTTAACCTAAGCATGAATACTTCATATTTAAATACAGGTTTACACAGACTGATCTTCTAAATTACCCAAATGAAGAAAAAAATAAAAACGTCTCTTGCTAAGGAAACCAGTTCCCATGCCTAATTGCAACAGTTACCTGAGATTCCTTGCAGAGCTTTTAGACCTGACTTCCCAAGGCAAGTCTTCCCTTTCAAGAGAGGAAAAAAAAAAAAAAAGTATATACATACCCACCCATGTTTGTTTGGGGCTCTCAGTATTGAAATAAAACATCTAGGAAAAACTGCACATCTTTGGAAGCAGGAGTTTTGGCACTATACTTGAAGGACTGTCCTAGTAGTAGTATTAAATAAGCAGCAGTCAACAATACAGAGAATTAATTCCTTAGGAGCAGTGATTAGAGAAAAAAAAGCAACTTTCTTTTCATAGAACTTCTGAGGCAAAAAAGGAATTAAAAAAAAAAAAGTTTGTAGTTTTTATAGCCATTATAGTAAAAAGTACATTCAGAAACCACACAGAGCCAAAAATCCAAACACAAAAACTATTTCTAAGAGGGTGGCAGACATTCTAGGATACTTACCCGCATTAATAGTTTTCATTTCTTATCAGTAAATAGAAGCTTTTCCATCAACAGTAGGTTGTTTCCACTCTATTCAAAACCTCCAAGTATTTCACTCTAAACAAAGAGGTAAATGTTCTAACCTTTGGAATTTCAAGTTGTAGAAACTTCTGTAAGGCTGTACACATTAAAGTCATACGTAAGAACTACTTTGCAAGACCCGCATCTTTCCAAATAGAAGGAAATCCTATTCTTTATTAGTTACTATTTGCAAAGCAATATCATGATTGTACTCTGGGCAACTCTTACAAAGACAACCATAAAATCATTTGCACGTCAATAGGAAAATAGGAGGCTGAAGTGGAATCTCTTAAAAATATATGTTTGTGTATATATATATTTGTTCTTTCTGTATGTCAACTTCACTAGAGTTTTTAACTAACAGCAATTTTGTTCTCCTCCATGAAGTGAGGGAACTGGTGTTTTGGCACATTGTCTGCAGCAGCACCACTGGCCTTCCCCGTATCAGAACCAGTCCCAGACTGGGTCGCATCTATTTTGGAGACTGTAGCAGTATTTATTGCTGAACCACCCCCAATGGTGACTGGAAGGGTAGGTAAGCCACCGCTCTGGATCACCGAGATCTCGTTAGTCTTCATCGCTATGCCATTGCTGAGTACCGCTGCGTACTGATTCCATACTGTGGGGTCAATGCTCACTGAAGGAGGCATTATATCCTTCGGAAACATTTCAGATACCTTCTTGGGATCATTCCCCAGCAGAGCCATGGGGTTATCAATTGAAAGCCTTCTTCCCCGTCTTGCAGAGTTATTCCACATGTGAGTTCCTACATGGACCTGGAGGGGGGGGCGGGAATTGAAGAGAATCATTAATATTGTAGTTCTCTTACGGCATGTCCAAGTTCCTCTTTGTCTAAAGTCAAGTTGCTCAAAGAAGTCACATAAGCTCCCTTTGCATTCAAGTACGTATTTAGCTGGTTATTTCTTGTCTTTTTTTCCCTACCTAGCATGTATAAGCTACAGCCATTCTACTGCCCAACATCACCACGGCTCTCTAGAGTTTACTGCTGAAGTGCCTGTAAGAGTGTTGGTTTTTATACTTACTGTAAATGGTGTTGGTAATGATGTCTCTCTCCCCTCATAAAAAATAAAACCCACATTTGCTGTGAATAGACTACACTGAAAAAACCCACACTAATTAATGCAGAAAAACTCACCCCAAGGAATTTGGAAGAGGAGTTAAATCTAAGCTAAAATCTTCAACACCACAAACATAGTGCTAGTGCTTCCAGTAAGTGACTGTTCACAAACTGCAGAATATTCTCCCTCCCCATCAGCATTTATGCAAGATGACTGAGGACTAAGTCTTCCCTATCATCCAAAAAGGAAGGTCAAGGACAGTCGCAAAGCCTTCTGTGGGTGATCCCAGCACACTGTTTAGCAAGTTGTATGAAGAAATTCATGAAGGAGAGACAGAAGTTAAAAGATAATCACCTAAGCAACTAAAGGAAAATCAAAGTAGTCCCCAAAGGTAGGACAAATATTGGCAACAGTCCCTCTCTCCCTGGCATGACATTCCCCAATAAAGGGGATCACAGCATAAGGGACAACTTACCTTCAGGTTTCCTTTTGTTGTAAAGGCTCTCCCACAGATGGTGCAGGCAAATGGCTTTTCACCAGTATGGGTCCGTTCATGAATCTGAAGGGCACTGGCAGAGGAGAAGTTCTTCCCACACGTAGTGCAGATGTGCTGTTTGGCAGGACGGCAGAATTTTGGTCGTGGCACAAGGAGAGGGGCGACACCAGCCGAGAGAGCTGGTGGGCCAATGAAATGGCTAGTGCTGATGGGACGCTCGCTGGGCATCTCCATTTTTATGAGGGCTGGTGGGGCTCTAACAAAAGCAGCTGGAATGCTACTTCGTCCTGGAAAGAAAGGAGAGGTAACATTTATCCCAACCTCCTCCTGCTTCCATGCTTTAAGTCTAAGATACCAGAGGCCCTGCCTGTGGAGCTGCATATGCCTGAAGAGCACATCTGCAAAGTCCTCCAAAGACACATGGTAGGGTTGCTATTACACTTGCTAGGATGCTCTAAACGAAACCAATTCATCCTTGGTTTTGTTGGTGAGCTTAGGAGTTAGAAAAATCACACTTCCAGGTCAAATTTAGATTGATGTTAGCCTCAATGCTAAAAAGCTTGAAAAACTCAGAAAAGGCTCCAGAGTTTCAATGTCACATTCCTGGTTTAAGCAGTTTTCTATTTAACACAAACACGTATCTTTAGAGAGCTAGATGGAGATGTCGGGCAAGTCCATGAAATACAGTAAATGCACAGCTTCTATTCATTTCAAGGACCTCTACACTACTCCTTGCAGGAGAAGACAGCACTCGAGTCTTTGAATTTTGTTAATTTTGTGTCTGAGTCAGGAAAACCTCACAGGGCATATGTCCCTATCCTAATAGAGGAGAAGGAAGAGGGGGAAGCTGGGGGCTTCTGACTCCTGTTGGTCCTTTTAGAGATGGATTTCCTCCAGTCCTACTACCCACCCCAAGTTATTGCCAGCATTTCACATTACTCACCATATTCTCCATTTGCAAAGTGTAACCCAGGTTCTTCTTTAATGACCTTTCGACCAATATTGCCGTAAGTTAAATCCAAAGCACCAACAACCCCTTCCATTTCCGCAGATGTGTTCTCAGGACCCTCCGATTTATTTCCCGTGCCTGTATCCTCTTGATTGTTCAAGCTAGGTGACTTGGATCTCACGCTCTCAGCTTGGCTGTTGGCTGGGGACAGAGCCTGGAGCGATGCAGACTCAGAGGCAGCAGGACTCCTGCCATTCTGATAATCTGGATCTCCTGCCACAGAAGACGAATCATTTGTCATGCCATCGCTTTCCGCTGAGCCATTATCACTAGACTTCAAGCTGCTTTGCCGCTGCAAGTTCAAAGTGGAGTTGACTATCTTCATTTGATTCTCTAGGGCTGCGATACCAGAGAAGGTGGCTGCCGGGGCTGGTGATTCAGATTGTGCATCATACGGAGTAGGAGGTTTTGAAGAACTCCTAGGGGCATCCTGAGAGTCCAGGTCCTCTTCCATCTCTATGCTTTCCACGGTCTCGTCTGGGCGATTGATGTCTCCGTTCTTCTCAGCCATAGCAGGATCCACATCAGTACTGTCGCAGGCGTTCTCCGGCATCGGTGTGTTGGGTATTTGTCCCCCCATATGCATGCGGATATGCTGCTGCAACACAACTGCATTTGTAAACTTCTTCTGGCAAATAGGACACGAATGTTGCATCTTCAAAGGCGTATTGGCCCGGTGAACACCATAATGAGTTTTAAGGTTCCCTTTAGTGGAGAAGGCACGGCCACAGATTTTACACTTGAATGGCCTCTCCCCAGTGTGAGTGCGATAATGCATTTTGAGTGAACTCTGGCAGCTCAGCACTCTGTGACAGATCAGGCACTCATTGGGATCAGCAGTGGATTTGTCGATATTTTCAACCAGTTGCTGAAGCTTTGACGTTTCTGAGCCTTGCTCGTTTGACCCGCTCACATGGAAGACGCTCACACTGCAAGCAGCTTGTGGTGAACTCAAGCTCTGCTCTGTTCCCGATTCATGACCGACAGCCCCTGATGAGGAAGAGCCACCCTCACTTTCTGGAGAAGGCCTTGACTGCAAGTCACTGGAGAATGTACCAGGCAGAGACTCCTTAATACCTGCTAGGCTGGAGACGGTCTGAGGGGCACTGGTGGCTGCAGAGGTAGGCAGAGTTGTTAGGAGAGGTTTGCTATCCACAATTAGATTAGACTCATCCAGTGGCACAGACATCCCATATGGGATTCCAGTGCTAGTGGGAACATTGTCCAGGTGCTCAGGAACCGGGTAAGGATTCATCTTTATGTGGGGGTATTTGTCTTTGTGACGCTGAAAATGCACTTTAAGGTTTCCTTTGGTTGTAAAGCGGTTACCACAGATGTTACACTTGTAGGGTCTTTCACCAGTGTGGGAACGAAGGTGAATCTGCAGGGCACTGTCATTACCAAAGACCTTGCCGCAGAATTTACACTTGTGTTTGAAGAATGGCTCTTCTGCATTCGGTTTGCTTTCAGACACGCTAATGTTGGGAGGTTTTCCCTTCCCCTTCTTTGAGGAATCTATCACAGAAGAAACGGCTGAAAGCGGATTTTGGAAGATGACGGAGTTGGACGACTGAGGTAGCAAAGGATTCGGGAACCGAGAAATGGAGCCGGGGAGGCTTCTGCTTGCCTCTGGCTTCAAGGGGAAGGAGGAGGAAAGCCCAGCGGCCAGTGAGCTGGCAGCTGCGATGCCAGTGTTAGAATGAGGTAGTTTTCCTTGCTTCAAGGATTCCAGTGATAGGCTCTGGCTTCCAGCTTTTTGTCCAATTAAAGCAACAGCAGCCGACAGCTGCTGAGACATGTGAGCACCCAGAGCTTTTAGTGGATCAGTAGCAGCTGCTATAGAAGGATGCAGGGCGTGGGGAGCCATCATGGCAATCTGAATGCGAATTTGCTCCGTCAGCTGGATTTGCTGGAGTTGCTGTTGCTGCAAACACACGAGCTGCTCTAGGATCATGGGGATAGCATTGAAACTGGCTGCTGAAGAAGAGATGGCATCCGAGGTCCGCTGGTTCACAGCCACTTTAGTGCCACGTATCGACTGCAAAGTCACATTAGTGTTTGGTACTTTGGATTTTGGTAGATAGCTTAGTCCAGGAGCCGCAGGTGTGACGGGGGGTTCAATTTTAAGGTACATTCCTCCTACCGATTCGGCATCCATTTTTCCTTCTCTTTTTTCCATAGAACCTGTGCAGCCCTTTGCCTGAATGTCCTTGCGTGTCCTGCTATCCATTCGATCACTTGGGAAGCTCCCGAGAGAAGCTTCAGAGAAACTTTCAGGCGGTACTGTTCCCTCACTGTCATTCATGATTAGAACAGGTGGATTTTTAGTGCAATTTTTCTTATGCTCAAGGAATTCAGAGAGATCAAAGAATTCTGCACAGCATTTCTCACAGATTTTAGTTTCTTCTGTGCGGCACCTTTTGGAACTCATTTCACCATCTCCGTCACCTGGGACGTCTTGTGGACTCCCTTAAAATAAAAGAAAGTCACATTATTAATAGTTAAGATTTAGACTGAGTATTTCCTATTCTCAAGATCACTGACTTCATCTGAGTTGCAAGTTAAAGACACAAGGCACTGGAATCAAGTTTACAGATTGATCTGAACTCCTGCTCCTTGCTGCCAATTTGTTTGCAGCCCCCAAGAAATCTGTATCTTAGTTCTGTGCTCAACCGAAACAACAACGTAAAAGGAATCTCATAAGGCTTGGTGGAAAGAAGTTTATCACAAATCCTTCTATACACATAAAAAGGGACAGTGCAGCAAGGCAGCTAGCACCTGCAAAATAGCTTAAAAGGAACATGACCTGATGAAGACAGAGCAAAACATCACTCTCTTGTGTTAGTACTTCAGTTTGTAATCCTTAGTCAACCACCTCTCAGAAATCCACGTAAGATTGTTAACACAAGAACTCGAGCAGTTCTTAATTGTGCACTGATCTATTACACTACATTCGCTCCACCATTATGGAAGTAAGTCCAATATTATTAGCTTTAAACACTTCAAAAGCACCCCCACATAAGAAAAACTCTGAAAAGCCATAGTAGTAAAGAAAATATGATTAACTTACAGAACCCCACAGCAGGTATTAGCCTATATCGACACTGATGATTACTAGAGCACGATGCAACAAGTCCTGCTTGTAAAACACACAAAGTTGTTTCAGACCCACACAGGATCCCCCGGTTCAGCCGCATCCACGACTTGCGCACTTTTAGGGAGAGGGAGAGAAAGCAAAACCGGTCTGCAAGTTCGCTCCTGCCCATCCTCCACCACTGCCCCACAGATCAGACTAAGCATAATTTGCACACGGACACACACAAAAAACCCAACAAAAACCACACCCCCATAATTCAGGGAAATATCAGAATGGGAGGTTAAGAGAAATTCTAAATCAAAACAGGATGTTTTTGCTCAGTCAAGCCATCTTTCAAACAAGAAGCTTGCCCCCAGCTCAAAGCGGGCAAGCGTTCAGGGCACAGGAGGCAGGAGGGGTCAGGGGTAAAACTGAAGGCTCACACAGCTGAGGGGGATGCGGGCAGGACTGCAGACGTATTACAGCCCCCACCAGGTGAAGAGTCTCATAACTCACATAAATGGTCAAATTTTGATGGGTGCCAGGGGCGCAGCAACCATGTACTTCGCCTGCCACACACCCGGCAGGACACACTGCAGACCTCAACCATAATGAAGAATTTGTATTATTCAGGTCTTGCAACTCCAGTCCCTCACCTCAGGGCTCAGCTCTGGCTCCACGTTACGAGGCCACACCGCTTGACAAGGGGAACTGAAGACTTTGCAAGCACAGGAGCTATTTGCGGCTTTCATTTTAAAGATGTAGCTGAACCACACATCTGATACATGTGTATATCCTGTACCTGGCAGGGTGGAGGGGAAGCTTGTCCAAGCAACAACTCAAGCTTGATGACTTACTGTTCTGGAGCACTGTAAAAGCTCAAAAGCAAACACTGTCAGTTGTTATGTTAACAAGGATATTATATGTATATTCAACAAATCTAACTTCAACTGTCTAATGTTAAGTGACAGTAAGTGCACATGTAAGTTTCTTCTTAAAAAAACCCTGATCAATTAAAGAAACACAGGTACAGGAGGCCCCTATAGTCTGCAGAGCAATAAACCCTAGTCTATATGTATGCAATTCTGTTAATCACATACACTTCAGGGCTGCAAGTCCTTGAACAGGTTCTCAGCACGGCTATGACCAAAACTGGTTTGATCCCTCATATCTAAACAGGGAGAATTAAATATTTATTTTCCCCCGTACTTCAGCCCAAACAACTTCCACAAGTGACGGAAACAAGGGTAAAAGCATAGTTTTAGCATAGTTTTCCTACCGCAAATATAATTAAACTGATGCCTCTAAAGCTGATTTAACTCTATGGAAAAATATACAAAGAAATATAGTCTGCAAAGTACAAGCTGCACATGATTCAGAACTTTGTCAATAAATAAGGCCAAATGAGGTCAAGAATACATTTTTTTACTCATCTTTGCAAGAATCTGAGCAGATATAATGGGGAAAAAGCAGCGGTATTGAAAAAAAGACAAGAAGCTTCCATAACTATTACTGACTCACAGGTTTTCACTTGACCACTTTCCTACCATCACTACCACTTTCATCCATCCAACAGGTATTTCACACAATAGACCAAAATATCAAAACCTTTTTCCCAAATTCTTTAGCATTAAGGGTTTTAACAGTTCAAACCCCCAGGCCAACTATACGGTTTCCCCACTTTGCAAAAATAACCTTTACTTTTAACTTAAAAAGCACAAAGCTCTTTCTTCCAGAGCCTCTCCTCCTCAGCAAGTACATGCATTTCACGTTGCAGTTTGCACCTCTGCAGCAGCCATGTAAAATGTTTCAAGTGGACTAGAAACCCATGCATGAAAGACTTGTTGCCCACCCTCAAGGAGATATTCCATGATAACTAAGTCTAGATGAGTCCTCAAGCTTTAACTGCTTCAAAGCATCTGATCATTTATCTCCCTTCCCTTCACAGTACTTTGTTATTTTTCCACTTTGACACTGATAAGACCACGCTAAATTCAAAGCCCCCTTTTTCCAATCTTTAGCACAGCTCATGCTTCTAGTTTTCATAACTCTGAGGAGCTCCAGAGGTAACTTTCCTGGTCCTAAGCACCAGCTGCCACTTTGGAGGAAGAGACTCCAGTAAATCGAAGGCTCCAGCAAACTAACAGCTGAAGGCTGTTTATTCCAGTAAACTAAAGTGCTCAGCAGCAGCAGGCAGGTTAGCTGCCCTGCCTCTGCCCATTCTTGCTGCCACTGTCACACACCTGAGCTTCCAACTGTCTGAGAGTAAGGCACTAGCTCAGGGGTCCAAGTAAATTCAGTTCCCAGCTTGTGCCGACTTGCTGCATGACAAGCAGAGAGTTATGCCTTACTTTCCCTTCTACCTTAGAAACTGGTTTAATATGCAGTCAGTAGAAGCAGACTGCTTGGTTATTCTGTAGTACCTGGAATAAGAAAAGGAACAATATACTGTCTTGGTTTCTAGCTACATTCTCTCTACACAACACCCTGCAATCAGAGCAGCTCAGTTACCTGAACCCCTGAGCTGCCCTACTGTACCCCCCAAAGCAGTTCTCTCTGACATGAACTTAACGGTTTGGAATTGTGGGTTTTCTCTGAAAAAAAAAAAAAACCAAACCAAAACACAACCAAAAAAACCCCACAACACCAAACCCCACTCTCTGTGCAGCCAGCTCTGTCCACGTACTGTACAAGGCTTCAGAGAGGAGCAGAAAGCCCTGCCACAACAATTGCTTGTGCACTTCACTTAACCCTCTCCAAAGGCTTCCCAGGGATAGAACTTCTACTGTGTTGCGGGTTTTTTTTATCCCCCCACCCCCGAATTTCAGGAATGTTATCTCTCAGCATCTAGTTATCCAATAAGTTAGAAGAATGCAGTAAACCCAGCAGGGGGGTTAGATTGAATCACTGGCAAATGGATGGAAAAAATCCACTATTGTGTAGGACAAGGCGGTCATCGACAAGGAAGACTGATAAAATCCACACAGGTCGAATTAAATTTTTCTCTAAGGGAACCAGTAAAAGAGAGGTGAAGTAAGTCTTGTCTGGTTTGATGTGATTTCAAGAAGGGTGATGCTGGTCTACCACTCATCTGAGCAATTAGTGACCTTTTATTTTTTCTCCCCTACTGAGATAAAGTATTTCACTTGAACTGGAAAAAAATGGTCAGAGCTCGATCTCCCCTCCCTTCTTATTTTTCCAGTAGTTTAATAATCTGGTGAGCTTATTTCTCCACAGACTACCTCTGATCAACTATTTTGACTTTAACATAAGCATAACCATGCACTTCCCCCAGTTAAAACTACCTCATGAAAGATTAGCTAGTATCCACTCCAGTCCTAGATGTCAAAACCTCTGCCATCAGTTCACTGTTGCTCTCAGGGATTGTGCTTCACATCATCTTATTTTGTTCCTGTTCCCAGCTGAAAAGCTAGGATTTCCACGAACTTTAAACTGCCCCAAATTTCCCTTCTCCCGCTATAAAACACTATTTAAAGCAGTTTCTTTATCACAAAATTGCTTCCTCGAGTAAGAAAAATACACGGCTGATTACTTACAGAAATAGTCCAAAGGCCCTGATGTTTTCTACACAATTTTTCAGCAGCACTTTTCTACCCAGGGCCGAGCCAGGAACGTGTCACACCAAACCAGTAGGGTTCCACGTGCTTTCGGGTTCTCTCTCAAGCCTTTAATTTTATTATCTACCTTCACCGTTTTGATGACCCGCCTACCCAAGAGAAATATTCGGCCCAAGACAGACTAAACTATCATGAGAAGTGTTAAAACCCGCAGGAAAAGTTAAAGACAAGAGGCGCTGCCTTCCAGCGGAGGGCACGGCGCTGGCTGGGCAGGTCCCCGCAGCCCCGCACCGGCAACCTCCTGAAGGGCTTTAAAACCAAAAAAAACCCAAGTAAAATAACAACAGAACACCGCACCCCCGGGGCTTCTGGACGTGCCTTTCTAAAATGTCCGCTCGTTACCTGCGAAGCGCCAGCCCGGAGCCCGCCCGG